GAACTTATTTAAACCACAGTTTCAATTATCTCAAGCTTATTTTCAATCGTTGTAGTATTTTGATAGTATGATTTATTTTGTAATTAATGTTATGCAATCAAGCCTCAAACTGAGGGCACTCTGTAGCCTGTTTTAGATTGAAGTTGTCTGAAGTCCTCACCACCAGCTGCTCTTGCAGTAATAAGTAGTACCTTTCTTACTGTCCTAATGTGCACAATGTAGTGACTGCTTTTCGTCTTTTGTTTTCTTAGTTGTGTTCTCTGTATTTTATATGTCTGTGTTATGTGTAAGAACGTGTAACGTTGCTGCCTTCTTGGCCAGGTCAGCATTGTAAATGAGATTTTGTCTCAATGTTTTCATCTGGTTAAATAAAGGTTAAATAAAATGTAAAACAAAATTACAATGATGGTGTAGACACACAGTAGAGTGGCTGTATAAGGATCAACATGTGGTTGAAAATCCCAGAGACATTCAGACATCACGGACTGACTGCTCAGCTGCCGTTACATTTTCTAGCTCTTCAAAGGAGAAGCCAAACTACCGTGGGTTGTTTAAATGTCAGGTGACGTACACTAACAATGAAGAAAAACAGCTGTTCACCTTCAGCCCCCCTCAGGCCCAGACAACAACACAAAAACATCAGTGAAAATGAGCACATCAGAAGAGACGAACAAAACTGCATCTGAAAACAACAACAATCAATCAGAACAAGACAGGAAACATCCAGGTAGTGAATAAACAGAGATATTAACAGTTATAAAATAAACGTTGTTGATTCAGATTTTAAAGACAAAGAGATAGAAACCTCTGAGTATATGTAACTCTTCTAACTTCTCTCTTCCAGGTTGGTGGTGGTGGATCATCGTTGTGATAGTGGGTGTTGCAGCACTCACAATAATCACTGTGGCTGTCATCAGACGGAAGAGGACTCAAGGTGAGGACATTCACACATTATACTTTACAAACTAGAAGCTTTTGATAAACATGGATCTTAACTGTGGAAGATTAAGTCAATTTTCTCTTTTTTCTTTTCTTGTAAGGGACCAGAACAGAGACCGATGATGACATGGTGAGTTTTAAAATGGAATAACTGGATTATTGCACAATTGTTATTTCATAAATCGTTCCACCTTAAACAGGATAAGTACAGTAAACCGCTTTTCTGAATTTTTTAAACAGAAAGTAAGAGGTCAAAAGGTTCATAATGAAATAACTAATCATAATATATTTTATTTGTGCAGGCTGATCCTGAAGATGGTGTTTCATACGCCTCCATCAGCTACACCAGGAAGTCCAGCAGTAAAGCCTCCCTGGCCCCAATATGGGGTGGAAGATTAAAACCCCCCAACTGAATAGCCCTCGACCTCAACGAACTACTTAGGCTCTTGGGAACAAAGGAGGGCTTCGGTCTGAGTGTCGCCCCGGATCAACAAGCAACTTGGGTGCATCGACAGAGCGGTCAGCTCGGACACTCTCTTGGCTGAAGTCAAGTAGCAATGCTGTCTTCCATGACAGTGTTTTCAGGGAGGAGAGCTCCAGAGGCTCAAATGGTTCTGTGACCAGAGCCTCGAGCACCAACGGCAGGTCCCATTGCGGGGAGGAGGCGTGCACTACTGGGCGTAGTAGTGCATGCCTCCTGACCCCTTGCAAAAACCGCGACATAAGCGGCTGACTGAAGGCTGACCTGCAGCCACACACACATCACTCTAGAACAGGGCTCTCCAACACGTCGATCGCGAGCTACCGGTAGCTCGCGGGCAGCTTTTCAGTAGCTCGCCGCTCGATTATCGATTATAGCGTAGTAAGGTTGCTTATTGATTTTTCGGCCGCGGCTGGACAATAACGTTTTTTTATTTTAGAATTTTTTCTGTCACACGAATATCAAATGGTCGGTGACGCAGACATCTAGGAACAGACGTGACAGCAGCACAGCGACATCACACACGGAGCAGTCTGCTTTCTCCACCAGCACCAGTCCAGAACTAACAGCAGAATGACCCGCTCTGAATCAGGCCCTGTCGCTGCGGCTCAGAGACACACAGGGAGGGATTTGTGTTTTTTGAAAAACACTCGTTATCGTCATGTCAGGTTTTTGGTGGATTTAATCAAGTCTTGGATTGCAGAGTATGAATGTCCTCTTGCTATTTTCAGTTGATATATACTTGTGTAAAGTTTGTGAAGGCAGGAGGAAAGCTTCCGCGATCACCGTCTCCTCTCCGTTCCTCCAAACCCCGCCCCCTCCCTGAAAATAATGAGTGACAGGCTGATAGTGACCCGAGAGAAACTTTATTATTCACTTAATCACTGATTGAGATATGATGAAGCTAACTTAATCTCATACATTCATGGGATTTATGTAACAGTAAGACAGAGAATGTAAGTGTGCACCCACATGCACTATTTTTGTTTTTATAATGCTGTTGTAAATACTCCTGTTGTCTGCTGTGTTCAGACTCAAGTCATGTGTGTGATGCCACATTCAGGACATTCAGTGTCTTTTTTTTAACAGAAGACCGTAGCTAGAAGCTGCAGTTAGACTGCAGAAGTTTTAGTTTTTGAGGATGGAACCATTTTCACACACAGATATAGGGAGGCTAGACCTATACAATTGATTTATTATGGTTTATAATTTAATGTCAAGACGAAGAAGAAGAAAAAGATGGCTGAACAACTGTTCAGTGTCAATCCTGTGGAGATCTCCAAAATCATGTTCAGCTTAAGTCTCAGCAAAACTCACAACATTTCTGGAGCCTTGTAGACCCAGAAAACTATAGAACATTCACCAAGCAGCACTGAAAATGTCTGCTTTATTTGGTTCTGTTCTACATACCTTTGTGAAGCAGCTTTTTCTGAATGAAATCTAAATACAGAACAATACTGACTGAAGAACATTTAAATTACTCTATTAGAGTGAACCTAAGTGGGTACACTCCAGCAGACCCCTGTATGGTGGACTGCCAGTGCCATTCATCTCACTAACAAAAGAGTGAAATGCTTGTAAGGTGGTGATTAAGGACACTTATGTGAATGTTAAGTGATGTACTTATTATGTGGGTCATAATAATATGTGAGAAATTTTCGTTTTCTTGGAACTTGATGTGAAGTTAAGATTTTTTTATAAGCTTTAGGTATTGCAATTTCACACGTGTACAAAAGTAGCTTAATTCAACTGATGAGGGCTATGTGAATAAGGCGCCGTTTACACGAGGAGAAAACTGCTTGTATCTGCATAGTTTCGCGTGCGTATAGCCCTATTATTTACACGAGGCCGATAGAAACTGACCCCACAAACGATAATGGGTCCCAAGGTGGATAGATTTGCAAACAAAACGATCTGGGGGGTCAACCGAGTCCGTGTAATCACCTCTATACGAATATTTCCTGAAAAAATAACGATAGCCCCACCTCTCCCCACCTCTCCTGCTCACTGCTGTAGCATGGCTGTGTTAATTAAACGCACAAGGGGTTCTTGAATGAAATAATATTATAAAAGGCAAACCAGAATTGTTAACGCCCAATATACTCCTTAAACAAAATAAACTGAGTCAGATTTCATGCATTGATCCATTATATTGACAAAGGAGGATCTCACCCGGTGTTTGTAGAGAATATCTCTCTGAGCGAGTCCTCTCCACGGAGACATGCTGCTCCTCCTGTCAGTAGCTACTGCTAGTGCTACTGCTACTGACCATGCTACAGATATTAGTGCAAAAATATACAGCTCCTCTACCACAACCATCAGCAACAAGTGGACATGGAGAATTACATGAACTACATGTTGCTAAATCCACGGCGGGGCGTAAACAGAAGGGTAGCCATGGCAACATTGCTGCGGGGCTGCTGCGGAGTCTTCTTCACTGCTTTTGGTGTATTTTGTGGCGGAAGTTACAGCGCCACTTACAGTCCCGGCATATGTACTACAGCGTGTCCAGCGGTCTCGTTTGAACAGACACGTTAAATGAAACAAATGCATGTGAACGGAAGACTTTTTTGAATACGCATACTGTGCATAAACGCAAACGGTCCCGTGTGAGCGGGGCCTAAATGTAAGCGATGTGATGCAAGTAGCTCTTGGCCACTTTCATTTTTTCAAAGTAGCTCTCAGATGAAGAAAGGTTGGAGACCCCTGCTCTAGAACTACTGTTAGTTTCCACCGGGTCCGTCTGCGTCGCGTTACGGCTGCGCCGCGTTTTTGGTCCGACCTCCTCTAGCGTCATAAGCCACCGGGCGCGTTCCAGAAGCGTTTCAGAAACGGAGCGTCGTGCATGCAGGCTCGCAGTTTTGTTATTGATTTGGCCCAGAGTTTTTAATGACTTTCACAAGATGTTAAACTACTGAATGGCTCTGTACTGTACCTACAAGTATTAATTAACTTTAAAACATGAATATGTAGTTGTTACCTTCCACTCCACAAACTCCAGCGATTAAAAACCAGGCCTTGTCCTTTCTGATGTTGTCCTTGTAAAAAGCATTGGTTACATCGTATAAAATAGTGTGTTTTTCCACTTCCATAATGAAAACCTCGTCGTCCATTGTGCGTGTCGCAGTGAAGGTGTTGTGATGAAGGAGGGGGGTCTGCAAAATTAGTATATGTGGGGGATGGGCCTGGCCTGGATGCTCTGACCGTTCCACTTCCTGCCTGCCCGACATTACCTTACGGCTGCGTCGCGTCAAAAATAGGATTCATCCCAATTTTAGAGGAGCCCTGCGCCGAGACGCTTTTGAGATATAACGAATAATTCATAATAGTAATAATACACCAACAACTACCTAATATATAATGCTATATGTACATTCTCTGCACGGTTTTGCTTTAAGCACGTACCTTATCTGCTCAGCATCAGAGGGTAAAACCACAGGTTAACCGGGTTAACAGCCAGGTTAACCTGTGGTTACTGGTTAACCACATCCTCACAGAAACACTTTCCCTTCAGTTCCCAGAAGGGAAATAAAGAAGCAGCAGGTGAGAGACTCTGACAGTCGAGAGCCAGAGACCGAGAGAGAAGCACGATGTCTGAATCCAGAAGGATCATAATGTCTTCATTCATGATGCTGCTGCTCCACTTTCCAGGTGAGGATGCAGAGAACACACTTTAAATAAAACAGCTTTAATATCACTAACGGTACTTTACTACGTACTGTTCCTTTAACTGAGAATGATGAGTTGTGTTTGTAACGTGGTGACTTTAGTGAACTCTTAGAAACCAAAACTCTCACAGAGATACATATTCAAACTTCTGTATCTACTGTATAATGATCATCATGTTAACTGTTAACACTACAGTTGTATTCATATTTATTTCCGTCTTTGTTTTTTTAAACAGCTGCAGATGTGAAAGATAACTTCTGCATTGTCAGAGTTGGACATAAAGTCGCTTTGCCTTTTGAAAATGTGATACATGATCAGGATGAGTGTAACAGTACTACCTGGCTCTTCAGTGATTCAAGAAGCTCAGTGACACTGTTTGAATACGGAAGGATTCACAACGATGCCAAAGCTAAATCAGCCAGAATGAGAGTTGAAAAAAACTGTTCTCTGGTTATAAAGAAGGTCACAGAGGAGGATGCTGGTCGTTACACCTGCACACAGTATATATCAGGAAACCAACAAGGTCATGGATCATATGTTGGTCTGTCTGTTGTTACCTGTGAGTATTGATATGATAATTTCTTCAAACTGTCTCTATCAATACAATGAAAACTTACAATAATTACGATAACAGTGATTAAGTTGTATTTTTGTTGTCTTTCTCTCACAATATCTCCATCTTTAGTGACTGAACATCAGGACACTGATGAGGTGACGTTAGACTGCTCTGTGTCGACAAATGGAGACTGTAGAGACAAAGTGAAGTGGCTGCTTCAGGGTCGAGATGTGGATAAAGATCACAGAGATATAAAGACATCACAGTCTTCCTGCTCTGCCTCTGTGACATTTCTGACTTCTCATTTTAGTAACACAACAAGGTCTGAGTTGTTTACTTGTGAAGTAAGAGATGGTGCCAACGTGCAGACCTTCAGTCCTCAGACCTCAGGTGAGAACATGATGATCTGTTTAAAGTCACTTCTTACTGGTTTAAAAAAAAATACTTCAATATTTGTTTATTTTATGGACGATTAAAATTGAATAGTTTGTTAAGTTTTGTTCATCTGTTTAGGTGAGGACAGAAAACCAGCAACAACTAATCGACCACCACCAACAACAACAACAACAACAGCTAAAAACAACATAAACTCAGGTAAGGTTTAATGTATTTACTTGTAAAGTGTTTGATGGTTACAGGACAGAACCACAGCTGTTTCTCTTCAGTCCTCAGGTGAGAACATGATGATGCTTACATTAGTTTTTATAACTGAACAGCATGTTGTTATTTTATTCATTAAGGTGGTGATGCAGGGAAGGGGACTACAGTGTCAACAACATGGACAACAGTGGAAATTAGGACAAAAGAGAAAACCAAAAATGCATCTGATAATGACAACAATCAAACAGGACAAGACAATAAAGGTAGTGACTAATAGAAACACTCCTTTTACAGTTAAACATTTTATTTTGTTGATTCAGAGTTTAAGGACAAAGAGATAGAAACCTCTGAGTCTATGTAACTCTTCTAACTTCTCTCTTCCAGGTTGGTGGTGGTGGATCATCGTTGTGATCGTGGGTGTTGCAGCACTCACAATAATCACTGTGGCTGTCATCAGACGGAAGAGGACTCAAGGTGAGGACATTCACACATTATACTTTACAAACAACAAGCTTTTGATGAACCTGGATTTTAACCCAAGTCTCATTTATTTTGTATTCCTTTTAGGAACTGATACGGAGACGGATGACAACGTGGTGAGTTTTAACATTGATAAATAACATGTTTTAAAACTGAAATATTAAACATTTATAAAATAGGGATTTCAATAATTTAGCAGGGTTTAAAGTTTTTGTTATTCACTATTCATGTAGTTAAACTCAAACTTCATTAAAAAAGTTAATTAATGGCTGTATTTCTTATTGTACTGTGCTTGATACTTAGCAGCTATTGTGTTTTTTTTCAAGGTGACATTATTAATAACTACTCATTATACATTTTATTTGTGTAGGCTGACCCTGAAGATGGTGTTTCCTACGCCTCCATCAGCTACACCAGGAAGAGCAGCAGGAAAGCCAGGGTGAGCTGTCTCATTGATTTCACTGGTGATGTGACTTTATCGTCTATTCTACTCTAAATGTGACCATAACTCACCGAACATCATGCTGTATTAAAGAAGACTTGAAAACTGAGATTGAGAACATAAAATCTGCAGAGAAATGTTTATTGAGGATATAAATCAAGTGAGACGTAGGGTCATTTTCTCACAGACTTCTGTACAATTAAGACTTTCAGAACTCCTTTATGCATAATCACTTTTCTTCCCCTGCAGGCTCACCTTCATGATGATGATGAAGAAGATGATGCAGTGACCTACAGCACTGTGAGAGCCCCCTCCTCTTCCTCTGCTGCCTCCGCTGATCCCAGCCTCCTCTACGCCACCGTCAACAAACCAAGAAAGAAACCAATGTAATGTTTAAATCAATAGCATGATCACTTGGATCAAAGATTTAGAGTTTAAGGGCACAGCTAGCAGAGTTTAATCAGATTTATATTAACCTTGTTTTTGCTTTCTTTAGCTTAAATGCATCAAAGTGAGAGTACAGCAGCAGCTTTATGAAAACATGTGAGTCCCTCTAGAGGTGGATTGTGAAAAAGGTTCAGACATGTTGGAGATTTACTGTATTCTGAATAATTAGAGCATGGGCAAAATGTGTTTTTTTTAAATTAATTCTTGCTTGGTTTTATTAACCGTTGTTTAGTTATATCATTTAATGGAATATTGCATTTTCTTTAGTATATTTGATTGTGTTGTATTTTACCAAATGAAGTTACCTAATAGCCTTACCAGACTGCAGATGTATTTCCATGTAACACCTTTTAAGTGAAATATGTTTTGCTTTGTTTGGAGTTTTGTGTTGGAAATAAAAAACGTTTTCAGGTGAAAATAAACTCTTTTAAAGGTGTTCTTGTTCAGCTGTCTTTAGTTTCAAACACTTGTATTTTCTCACCAGTAGGAAGCAGCAGAGATCCTCCCAACATGTGGAGGTCTCTACTGTCCTCTCACACTGAGAAGCAGATCTCTGCAGACACAAACACAAACACTCTCTCATGTGTGAATAATGTGAGTATAGGTTGAGTTAGTGAACTGTGTGCTTCTGAAAGTGCTGCAGCAGAGGGAGCTTGTGCAATGAGAGTTTACTTTACTGTAAAACAAAGCATATGTTTTGCATGATATACTTTCCAAGAAGCAAGCACATTTAGAAAATAAAATCATTATTAAATTATGCAATCGAAACTTTAGGAAAGAAAAGTGAAACAAATGTTAAAATTAATAGATTTGCTTTCAAATATCTTAATGTGAAAAATAGTCCTGCTTTTTTTGTGGTGCAAATATCTCGTTTTTTGGTGGATTGTCATGTTTTCAGATTAGAGTTAGAATGGGAAGTGAAAATGGAAGTAGTGAAAGCATGGAGAAATGAAAGAGGGAAGGAGAACACACTCAAAGAAATGATATGTTAGATTTACTTAATCTAGTTATGTCAACCGGCTGCACGTAACAAGGCTAAGTAAATAGGAAACAGACTAGTAAACTAATATTTACTTCTTGCATTTAAGTAAATCTTACAAAAGCATCTTAATTAAATGCTACATCATACAGTTATGTTGTATTTGCTTAACACAGTTATGTTGAATTTACTTAAATTGTTGTTTTTACTTAACACAATTATGTTGTATTTACTTAAAGTTTGCACTGATTTACCTAACACAGTTAGGTTGTAATTACTTAACACAAATTAGTTCCATTTATGTTGTAGGATTGTGTTATTTGCACTTAACATCATTTAATCCAAATTGCTCTATCAATATAAGTAATTCAAATGACTCCAACTCAGTAATTTGTATTCCGCTCACTTTATTTTAAATGTTCATTTTACACTTATAACATTGCATTTTGCAAACAACCATCTGAATTGCCCCAACAATTCAACAACAAAAAAACACTTAACTCCAACAGCCCATTTGTGGTAGGTGCACATATTAGAATTTTAAAGCTCTTTGCGTAAAAAACCCATGACAGCTGCTGAACTTGACAGTGATGAGAAACACGAGTGACTCAAGAAGTTAACATGTGGGCTGAAAAGCTACAATAATGACTTATTATCTGAACATTTTATAAAATGCAACTTTACTATGAAGTATGGTGTTTTTATGTCTTTCCAAACACTTAGATGAAACGCATCACATAATATTGCTCAAGCACATAATGTGTTACAGTAGATCTTTGCCTCTGTTATACACATGAACATATGTCTTGAACTTTCAAAAGCAGAAATACAATTGTGAGTGTCTGTGTGTGTGGTGTGTCTCTGTGTTTGTGGTGTCTCTCTCTGTGTGTGTGTGTGTGTGTGTGTGGTGTGTCTGTGTGTGTGTGGTGTGTCTCTGTGTGTGTGGTGTGTGTGTGTGTGTGTGGTGTGTCTGTGTGTGTGTGGTGTGTCTCTGTGTGTGTGGTGTGTCTGTGTGTGTGTGGTGTGTCTGTGTGTGTGTGGTGTGTCTGTGTGTGTGTGGTGTCTCTCTCTGTGTGTGTGTGTGTGTGTGTGTGTGTGGTGTGTCTCTCTGTGTGTGGTGTGTGTCTGTGTGTGTCTCTGTGTTTGTGGTGTCTCTCTCTCTCTGTGTGTGTGTGTGTGTGTGTGAGAGAATGTACCGAGATGGAAATGAACTGGACGTTATCTCTGTCACAGTATTTTGTCCTTGGGATTACTCTTGTAATCTGTTTTTCAGAACCTGCACCTTGGTTGACAGTCTGTTGCCATCCAACCCCATCAATACTTTTTGAATGAATTCAAATGTATGTTTCAGGTCCTTGGGGTAGCTCAGATTGAGGCTGTAAATCAGTCCAAGCAATACTGCCCATCCATTTGCCAAGTATTTCAGCTCTCGCAGCACTCCAACACCCTCGATGATGACGCCCGGGTTCTGCTCCTTCGTGTTTCACGAGATAGAGTCCCAATACCATTGGCTCCATTTGGGTTGTTGCAAGTTCAACATCCTAAAGTGGGATTAGAACATAGTATTCATGATTATCAGTATGAGAACCCTGACACACATCATTTTATAATATGAAACAAATGAGCAAATCCTTTTATTGGATCCATTGTAAATAAATACATGTAGTTGTAAATGTACATGAACAATATAACCAAAGTAGCAGCAAATACTTTGAATAAAAAACAAATTCAATTATTTTTATTTAAAGAGGACATATTATGCAAATGTTCAGGTTCAAATTAGTATGGAGTGTCTCTACTTTAAAGAGTCCTCTCCTGCTGATGTTCAGGTGTATATCAGTATGTAGTGTCTCTACTTTAAAGAGTCCTCTCCTGATGATGTTCAGGTGTATATCAGTATGTAGTGTCTCTACTTGAAAGAGTCCTCTCCTGCTGATGTTCAGGTGTATATCAGTATGTAGTGTCTCTACTTTAAAGAGTCCTCTCCTGCTGATGTTCAGGTGTATATCAGTATGTAGTGTCTCTACTTTAAAGAGTCCTCTCCTGCTGATGCTCAGGTGTATATCAGTATGTAGTGTCTCTACTTTAAAGAGTCCTCTCCTGCTGATGTTCAGGTGTATATCAGTATGTAGTGTCTCTACTTTAAAGAGTCCTCTCCTGCTGATGTTCAGGTGTATATCAGTATGTAGTGTCTCTACTTTAAAGAGTCCTCTCCTGCTGATGTTCAGGTGTATATCAGTATGTAGTGTCTCTACTTTAAAGAGTCCCTCTCCTGCTGATGTTCAGGTGTATATCAGTATGTAGTGTCTCTACTTTAAAGAGTCCTCTCCTGCTGCTGATCAGGTGTATATCAGTATGTAGTGTCTCTACTTTAAAGAGTCCTCTCCTGCTGATGTTCAGGTGTATATCAGTATGTAGTGTCTCTACTTTAAAGAGTCCTCTCCTGCTGATGTTCAGGTGTATGTATATATATATATATATATATATATATCTGTGTTTGGCTATGTTTCAACTTACCAAATATTCCTTTATGAAGCTCTCGGAACTTTCATTCAAGTAGACGCAGAGCGCTTTAAGGACACAGTCCCGTCGTGTTTCAACTGTGGGATCCTGAGGGACAAACACATTTTCAAAATCTTCACACAAGAATACTGATTATGCTTGTGTGCTGATTTTTGGCAAGTCAAAGAAAGGGGGTCAGAGAGGTTAAAATATATTTATATGAGAGGGACAACAAGAGAGAGAGATAAAGAGAATATGGTGTTGCAGTGCCCAAACTACACAATTTATTACAACTACATACCTTGTCCATGGCTGCCATGATCAGGCCCAAATTGCGTCCTGCTGTTCCCCCCTTCTTTTTGAAAACCTTCATCAACTGAGACGAATGGCGATCCAGTTGAGACATGAAGGTAGGCAGCAGCGGAACGGTGGTGATGCGGGTGAATTCTGCGTTTACCTGCAACACATTGTGATACAGGTTCAAATGTTTTGTTTAAAGCTAATAATATCCATCAAGTGTCATAGCAGAAAGGACAGGACATCTACTGGTGTAAACCAAACAAAGAATTTCAGCTGAGGTTCTTTTCTTATACATGTGCATCTATTAAAATAGCTCTGCACTTAATACAGGTAAAGATTCAACATGACATCTACTTAAATGTGTTTTAAGAGCATTCCATGTTTTGAAAGAGCATGGGCATTCATAGTATGTGCATGGATATGGGTGTCTCTGACCAAAATGGCCGTGTTTTAATTTATAGTGCTTCAGTAATTGGTACCTTGTAGATTGAGTCTCAGTACACTGTTTGCATCTCCACATTCAAAACCTAGAGAAAAAGAGAAATGTGTTAATGATCCAAAAGTATTGTAAATAACAACTATTATTGCAGCCATTAACATAATTCAGGGTGTGAGGTGCAGGATATAGCAACCCATTACTGGATCTTAAGCAGTGGTGGAAAAAGTACTCAGATCCTGTACTAAAGTAAAAGTATAAATACTCCATTACTTGCTATAGTCCCAAGTTCAAAATAATACTTAAGGTAAAGTTCCAACGTGTTATTAGCCAAATATAATAAAGTATCAAAAGAAAAAGTACTTTGTGCAGAAAGCCTTTTGTAAAAGGGTTGCATCATAGAATAAAAATGAATGTTCTTATAATAAAAAATCTACATATATACAAGATTTTTTAATGTTGTGATTTGTTAATATAGAGCATATTTTGGAAAGAACTGAGTAAATTAGTAGTACATGTATATGAATATAAACATTATCTAAAAAGGTAACTACAAGTGTCAAATAAATGTAGTGTTGTAAAAGTACAATATTTCCCACTGAAATGTAATTGAGTAGAATTACAGAGTAGCAGAACATGGAAATACTTTTCCACGATAAATAACTGTTTAAACACAAGCAGTTGCCACGGCAGGTAAGTGGCAACTGCCACACACATTCGCTTGGCTCGGCACCCAGAGTAACACCCCTTCAGCAGCCGCAGTTGTCTCAGCAAATAGTGGCATCTGCGGCTGAAGTACCTGCCACTATTTAATCTTGCTCTCTCTCTCTGATTATTATAAAGAAACACGTTTTCGGGTGAATTACGTGTCTATTTAAGAGCTGTCTTAATGGAAGATGTGCTTGTTGAGTGTGTTCCTGTACATGCTTTAAATAATTCACACTTTGATATTCCTGGCCGACATAATTAACGTAACGACCAGGCACGGCTCCGGCTGACGCAACAGTACAGTGCACAGATGGGATTTTTATTTCTTCCAAATAAGCTTTACAATTGAACAAAAAAACCTCCCTCAGGGCGTTACACTTGATGAAGTTATTTTTAATAGACTTAGAAGACCTTAACCGACTATGACCTTTTTGGCACTGGAGATGTTTGCAACCAGGCTCTCAAATCTTTAAATCAAGCACATTTAAAAAA